ATATTATTTATATAAATAATAAATTATTACTTATTTTTACAAATATTAGTGTTATGGCAACGACTGTTACACTTTACAGAAGCTTTAAAACAAGCACATCGTTTTGATTCACATTGGCGTTTACAAGTACAACTTAAAAAACCTTGTCCCCCAGAAATATGAGAAACTGTTTCACGTAATGTGAGTTCTTTATCATTATAAACTTCAGTAGTGTAAAAAAAAATTAAATGTCGCGGGTTTCAAACTTGCTGAATTGTACCACCCTTTTACTAAACCATATTGAGTTCCGAGTTGGTGAAGTTTATGWTTGTTCTGATTGACAATAACTGCAATTACATTATTTTAACTGTGGCTGAATTTAGAGATTTTAGAATTTTTTTAAATTTAAAGATTTCAATTTCACAAAAAGTTATCTRTTGATGTAATTAATTTAAAATATTACACAAAGTGTAAAATAAGAGTTTTCATTTCATGAAATGGATAAAATATATGCCCATTTCATGAACTAAAATTTGACTTACAYGATATGATCGTAGTTCATRAAATGGATATCCATTTCATGAAAAATACGATTACACTAAGTGGATGCGACATATATACTACTCGTGTACTTATGACTATTTTTGTTCATAATTCCTAATTTATTTCAATTATTTTCTTAATTCTTAAGCAAATTGAATGTAGTAATAACTAATTTTATCTTGTTGTATTAACATGATTATTTATATATTATATAATATCATATTATAATGATATGAAAAAAGATAAAATTTAACAATAAATAAAAATCACATAAAAAAACCTAGGATAAATCATAAAATTAAATTTAAAAGAAAATAATTACACACGTATTTTATAACAGTAAATTTATTATGTGAGCAAGTTTTTTTTTAAATTAATTAAGACCCTTAGCAACATAGGCCATATTGGGTTTTAATTATACAAAAGTACAAAATAATATATTTTAGTATTTCCTTTTGTGCTTTTATTCAAGACAATGTCTGTCGGGTCAGCTAGTTAATACTTAATATATATAATATATAAATAGGTAATCTAAAAACTATTAG